ACACACACACACACAAACACACACACAAATACACACACCCTCTCTCCCTCTGTCTATCTCTCTGTCTATTTGCCTCTCTCTTTACTCCCCCCTCCCCATCTCTCTCTTTTCAATTTCACACACAAATTACGTACTCAAACTTTTTCTCATAGACCATGCACACACACACACACACACACACACACACACACACACACACACACACACACACACACACACACACACACACACAGATATTATATACATACACACAGACAAATACATACATACATACATACATACATACATATAAAGACACATAAATTCGAAACTCTTTACTCCATCTTTTTTCCTAAACTGTGTCGATGTGACCATAAAAGCATCTATAATTTCATTTACGGTTACAAATCTGTTCGTTTCTGCAGACCGCTGTCATGTGAATGTCACGAACATAGTATGGTCGTCTGTTATTTGCATTATGTTGTTGTTGTTGTTATTTTCGTTGTTGTTGTTGTTGTTGTTGTTGTTGTTGTTGTTATTGTAACTGTTATTGATGTTCCTCAGCCCGTTTTGACCTTATTCATAAACAATGTGAATATAAAGTAAAAAGTGCCAGTGTTGTTGTTGTCGTTGTCCTTGTTGTAACTGTTGTTGTTGTTGTTGTTTTTCTGACCACTTCCAACTCCTCTGTGTTATGAATATAATATAATACTTTTGTTGTGTATGTGTGTGTGTGTGTGTGTGTGTGTGTGTGTGTGTGTGTGTGTGTGTAGGTGTGTGTGTGTGTAGGTGTGTATGTGTGTGTGTCGTATACGTTATGAAACACCAAACCAATATGCCAGGATCTGAACAATAAAGATGTATATCTTATCTTATCTAATCTTATCTTGTCTTGTTATTGTTGTTGCCCTTGTTATCGTTGTTGTTGCTGTCATCGTCGTTGCTGTCATCGTTGTTGCTGTTGTTGCCCTTGTTATCGTTGTTGTTGCTGTCATCGTCGTTGCTGGTGCTGCTGTCGTGAATCAGACCGTACTTCAAGCCCGTCCTGTGCTACATGGAGGGCGCCTGGATCTCCAGCACGGAGGACCTGAACGAACCGTTTGAGAGCGACAGGCATCACCTAGACGCTAAGGACTGGTTTGATCTGCAGGTCGGTGGTCAGTAAATTATCATGGAACACTTTAAATAAAATGCGTTTTAATTAAGTTAACGTCAGATTCTCCACACAAGACAAACCCTGCTGAGTAAATAAATAATAGTAAAACATTACAATTAATTGGCCACTTAATTAACGAGACCATTGTGAAAGAGGTGCTTGTTAGATGTGTGTGCAGCAAAAGAGCGAAGGGAAGTCAAAGAGTAACTTTCATTATAAATCACACGTTAAACATTTTCCATTTAACGTTGGTGTTTTTACGTCCTTAGACACCATTTGAATATCTTAAGAGGCGTAACGTTGCTTTGGCTATAGTATTTTTTTTCTATTTTAAAAAAGATGAAGATAAAGCTAAAGCTAAAAGATTTTAAAGGTAAACACCACCTGGACGCTGTGGACTAGTTTGACCTGCATGTTGGTCGCATTAATTATTATTATTATTA